TATGTTTAAAAGACGAAGGCTGTCTGAAAAATGTGATGTATTTGCGCAATACATTACAAACAATCTGATCACATTCCATTTTAGTTTGTTTATTAGGAATATCACACAGTGAAACAGTAGCATTTACTGGATTACGTTTCGGACACAATTTATTGTCCATATTCATATCAAGTAACTCCACAACTTCGAGACAGACTTTATATATCCCTAATTTTCTCTCCTTCTCTGTGATGACAAGGGTAGTAGAATTTTCCATATATCTGGGACAGGTGCAGAATCATTTCGATTGCATGTGTTTGGTGTTGATTGGATAAACGAAGATTTGGTTATCAATCTCTCCCTCCATCCAACTGAGTTAGTTCTAAACACTGTCGCCCTATCCAACCCTACTATGTGATTGTGTCATCGCATGCAGAGCTTTTCTCTAGATTTCTTATCTTATTAGGATCTACTAATCTTGATTTAGCTAATTTTTTTTGCTCTGTTATTCTAATCGACCCTGGTCAACTACTTTGACCTATGTACTTGACTTCGCAATCATTGCAAGGGATCTGGTAAACCAGATTATTTTGCTTAATTGCATCGGTAGGATCTTTTAACCTAGAAAGCTTGTTACTAAGCCAGTTTGTTGGTTTGAATGCCGCTTTAATCCCAGCCAGCCTTATTGAGAATTCTTCGTAATGCTTCTGAAGTGCCTTCCTTGTGTGGTAACACAGCAGAGGCTTCGAATTCTCTCTTAACCCTGTCGCCATTATTACCGTTAGTATTGGGATTATTATTAATAACACCTGTATCACTACTACTACTACTACCACTGCTAATATTTTTCTATTCTTATCTCAGATTTTCCGATCTACCAGTAAGCTTTTGGATTGCAAGATTAAACGAACACAAGAAGGAAATCTAGAGACCAGTGTCCATAGGAAGCCTACACATTCGAATCGCTACTTAGACTTCGAATCCTTCCACCCCATTTTAGTTAAAGTAGGCCTAGTTGAATGCTTAAGTGATAGAGCGAAAAAGCTTACTAGTAGATCGTTAAATCTGAGACAAGAAATTAGACACATCAAGAAATATATCCAGAAACGCTTACAGAAAACGGATATCCGTTACAGTTAGTGAACCGTTGTAGAAAACAGCTAACTCCGAATCCTATAATTTCCTCGGTCCCGAAAAAGTGCAGGTGACAGACAGATATCCATTTTCATCTATAGCAAAACACATCATTTAAATGAATCACAAGGTTGATACGAAAACAGCCTTCAAGATATTATGCAGGAATAATCAGGGGGCGCACATTGAAATTTACCGGAGCGTTAACCATTAGTTAACGTAAGCCTCCGTTGTGTGTACAAAAACAATCTGTTGTTTCACTCAATTTACCTTGTATTACCATGACCTTTTCATATTCATTATATCTGACCTTTTATTTCTCCTTTCGTTTTCTTATATTAATTGGGTTGACAAGTAAATGTGATCAGATTGTTCGAAATGTATTGCGCAAATACATCACATTTTTCAGATAATCTTCGTCTTCTAATAATATTATCGGAATTTATTAAAGGGACTAAATGTTTTAAACTCGGTTTAAATTTCAGGTTGTTGGATTATAGTTTATGATATTAACAGAATTTTTCGTCGGAAATAAATACCATACATTGACATACCTGTATAATGTCAACATGTTAACTACAGTTTGTAGACTATTTGCAAACTAAACATCCATTTTATAGTATGCTGCCCCATTAGAGTCTTTTGACCACTTTCATTGATTTGAACTGTTTAGATCTGTGAGACGAACTGTCTCCAGAGTACACCACTGATTGGCTCTAGTCCAAAAGACAGAAACAGTCGTCAAGTGCCAAGATTACTTTTATATGACTAGGGAAATTTGCATATTACCATGAATGTTCCCCGGCTGATAATATTTTTCAATAGTATGTTCCATTTACTTCAAAGAGAAGACAATGAGTAATATTTACAGTGATTAAGTAGCATACGGTTTTCACAGCTTATATCTAATGCTTAAAGTTGAAGTAGTTATTCCAAATTGAAAAATACGCCATATGTAATTCATAAGACCGATTCCACTACACACAAAGTAGTGAATTTAGAAAAGAAACATCTAAAAAATGCTATTGTTCAACTACAATATATATCTGAATGTCATGGTTAGGTTATCTGCCTCTACTTAGTGAGTAATACACCATGTATTATGCTTCAATTTAGAAGGAAAACAATATTTTTTTATTTTAAATCAAATTAAAGGTGAGTTACTATGACTAAGTTTCTTATTAATTGGTAATCTTGGATTTGACCTCCAGTTAGAGTTTGGTGATAGCTGTTTCTTGGCTTTGTTAGTTTCAAAAGAAATATATTGAAATATTTAATCCGTGTTACCTCATGTCTAAAGAAAGTTTGATGAGCTTCAGATGTAGCATACACCCATCATATAATGATTATCAAGTATACTTGCTTATTCCTGCATGCATGTATACGTTGATTATCCAGATAGTGGGTCGACTAATTTTATCTCATCAGTTCAATTAAACTAAGAAACCTTCACTGATCCCTTAGACATCATAGTAGCTGAAAATATTCTTCGACACTTAGACGGTTATGACAAACCTTCTTTCTATCAGTTATATAATTCAGTCATTAAATTGTTTTTTAATGTGTAAATGGCTATGACCGGTAGTACGACCTAACAGCCCACTAGCGATGCAAGCCTAGTAGACTACGAATGATACAAACCCAAAGCACAAAAGAATCGACTCTAACGCAAGTCAGGACGTCAACCACCACTACCACAACATTACCACCGGAGAGCAAAGACAAGAAGAGTAAACAGACCGTTGACAGACAGCTTTTTGCTGTCTCAACAATACAGTTGACGAAGATGCCGAATATATACACTTCTAAATGACCTTGACAACACTAAATCCACAAATGGCTAACAACTAATGAGAGTTCAGCCATGAGAGGAGAGGGAAGAAAACTAGTAACGGTGCCAAAACAACCATGTAGATTATTTTAAAGGTCAGGCAAAAGCTATGCAAAATTAGAGGTATATAGCATGAATACAGTTTAAATCACAGTTGACGTTTGTTGGGATGATCAACAAAAATTCAGGTGTTGTTTAAATGTTTCTTGATTTTTTGGCAGCGCTTTGACACCACACACATAAGCATATTATTCAGATTCAGATTTGCTGTTTGAGGATAGGAGGCTGAAAGCCCATATTAATCCTTTTCTAGTAGATTTCTGTGCTTGTCCAATCCCCTTTTGCACGAATCAACTGATGATGCGGACACCACTTCTTCTGGGAGTCGGTTCCAGGTGTTGATTACTCGACATGAGAACCAGTACTCTGAGGAGACTATGTTTGTCCTTTGCTTTCGTAGTCTCCTACTATATCCTCTGAGGTGTTCCGACTTCTTCCTAAGTTTAAATAGCGATACTCATTACAAAGTTTCTATTCTGTCGACTAAACGTTAAATCATAAACTTCTTTATCAACCAACTCAGATTTTTATGAAACAGTATGCGTTTTCATACTGCTTAAATGCTGTGCAACGAAGAAACCTCTTATCACTAGAAGTTTGTTTTTTTCCTACTAAAATTTATTTAAAGTTAAAATTGTTCGTCAGCCGAAGTGAACTACATTATCCAACAGTATTGCGCCCTTAACTAAGATTGTGAAACAGAAAACAGACACTGAAAGAAAATACCTCTAGGATATGTAGCGGTTAGGAAAATCGAAATACATATAGTGACTACATGCACATTCATGCAATAGGCAATGAACCACACCTATTGTGTGAAAACTACTAATACTACCTGATTACCTGAATCTTCGTAGATGGAATAGTGCTTGAACCCGTGGCCCACTGTTTGGTTGGCTAGAAAAACAAAACAATCACTGCTAGTTGAATTCCGTCGCCGAAGTTATGTAGTGTATTATTATTATTACTTGTCCCTTGGGTTCCTAATGGAACATAGGTCTTCAGTAGCACGTCTTCACTCCACTCTGTTCTCTGCTATCTTTTCAACCTGGCTCCACGACAGCCCACAAGCTCTCATTTCTTCCTCACACCATCTTCTCCATGTCACCCTCACCTCAGACGCCCAACTCGTCGTTTGTCATCTGGGTTCCAATCGGGGGCCTGACCTGACGCATGATGTCCTCAAATGGTCGTGTCAGTGCATGCTCAATCCATCTCCACTTTCTTCTGCATATTTGTTGGGGGATAGGTTCTTGGTTGGTTCGTTGCCAGCCAGAGTTCCTTGTTGCTTATTCTTATTGTTCTGGCCGTCTGAGTTTCAGTAACGAGGGTAGGCAGTTGTTGATGAATGCCTGTAGTTTGTTGGAAATGCCTTTCTTAACGCGCCAGGTCTCTTAAACATCATATAGAAGCACTGACTTGACACTGATGTTGAAAATCCGTATCTTGTTCCACATGCTGAGTTCAGAACATCTCCACACTGGTTTCAGGTTGATGAACGTCTGTCTTGCTCTTCCGATCCTGGCTTTGACGTCCTCGTCTGTGCCGCCTGTAGTTGAAACGATGCTGCCTAGATAAGTGAAAGAGGCTACTTCCTTTAGTTATGTAATGTAGACACTCAAATAAGTGGTAGCTATAATGATTTCCAGCATCTAGTTTCAATTTTCTCAGATTATCGACAAAAAGATTAGAGTGTATTTTTGTGTTAGCCAGATCATTCAGTAAAGCATTTTCGACAAGACTGACCGAAAAAGCTATGCCTTTTTGAAGGACTCTAATTGGTGTTCATCAATAATACTAAGGAGAATAGTAACAGGTAATCTATATCAATCATAACTACTATGTTGGATTATGTACTTACCAAGTGGTTCTTGACGACTCACTACGAAACCCACCTGGATATTTTGGACTTCAACATTTAATAATGTGTATCAAATTATCCTTCTTTTGTATTCAACAGCCATTCTTTTAACACAAGATACTTAACCATTTTCAGATTGGAAGCAGAAGTTGAACAATAATAGTAACTATGAAGAGTGAGAGTGGAAAAAGTACCCCTATTGAAGATAGTTCACATACAAAGGTAGGCCAATCAATTTCCTTGAGCAATTTAACAAAATCTAATTTATTAGAATACTCGTGAGCGTAATAAAAGTCAAGTTGGACGCAAACGAAGATCACTAAATGAGAAACCAATCGATAAAGGTGTAGCTGATCGTTCTGGTGCAGCATCATCCGCCTCATCGATGAAAGAACATCAACAACCACTGGATATATTCACTCAAGATAAATTGATGTCTGAATGTGTACCGATATTTTTATCGAAACCAACACAACAGATATTCAATATTGTAACAGATGAACAAGTTACGAAAGAGTCACCCATAACTTTATTGAATAAATCAGATATCTTGAAAGATTTACAACTGCGTGCAGCTGTATCAGATTTTAGTGTACAAAAAAATGCATTAAAACAATATCCCGGTTCTGATATTTTATTAATCTATGATGCAGATTATAAGTTTGGTCAAAATTTTATCATTGTATTGTCTGAAGAGACGAAGTCATTGATACTGAATCCAGTCAAAGAAACAGCTGATCATCATTCAGAAGATATGGATCATGAAGAGATGGAAGAGGGTGAAGAAGATGAAATTGAAGAAGTCAGTGATTCAGTAACACTATTTAAATCGACACCAGTAAGAGTATGGGCTGATTTAGGTTCAGAAAGAGAAATCACTGAAATGAATGCTTTTGAAACACGTCCTAAAGTTTATACAATCTTTCAAAGACCACGTAGGGAATTTGGTGGTCCACTGAATTTAAAAGATGAAAATGCCACAAAGAAAGGTGGTTCTGAACACATTCATCATTACGAAGATAAATCATTCAATGTGCCCATTTTAGAATTGGACAAATCAGTTACAAATGCAGAAACAACTTGTGATAAAGGAACAAATACAGACTGGAAATATCCACGGAATGCATTTACTCAGTATACACCCAGAGTGTTTACACTTGATGAACTACAAGCCTACTATACAACAACTAGTACATTATGTAATATATCTAAATTATATACAGTCTTTGAACAGGGGTTACTACAGAATGCAATGTACAACTTTTTGTCAAATGATTATGAAAATTTATCATTTGGTGATGAAACTTATGATACAAAAGCTGATAATGTTTTCAAAGAATTTCTATCATTTACTGATTTAAAATTCAGTAAAGACAAAGCTATAACAATGATACAATCACATCCAACAATTAAAAGTATTGTAGCCACATCAGTTGGTGAACGTTTAATTTATGATCAACGTGTTGATCAAGCTTCACGTATATTACTTCAACCAACACATATTATATTATGGAGTTTCAATGATCCATTGAAACCTCAACTATTGTTAAATGCACCTGATGATATTATTTGTTTTCAGTTCAATCCAACAAATCCTAATTATATTGCTGGTGGTTGTGTAAATGGACAAGTTGTTTTATGGGATATTGAAAAACATGTTGATGATTTGATGAATGTTAAAATGAAATTGAAAAGTAAAAATAAGATCCCATTATTTGTATTCAGTGAAAGTGAATTACATAAAGTAGCTATATCACCATATTCTGCTCTAAGTAATATAGAATCTTCTCATAGTTCACCAATTATGGATATAAAATGGATACCAGATCATTTAGAAATTAATCGTTTAGGTTATTGTTTCGAGAATTCTACACAAAAGTCTATTCAATTAATGACATGCGGTTTAAATGGTGAAATATTACTATGGGATATAAGATCGGATAAATCACCATTAGCCATAGATAAGACAAGTGATCTTATTCAACCAGCTATGAATGTACCAAGAACATTTTCTGCATTGGATATGAAGTGGAAACCATTATTAAGAATACATTTATTTAAAACTGATCCAGGTAGTAATTATGCACTGACTAAATTTAGTATACGAGTAAGTTATTTCATTTTCATTCTTATTATTTTCAGAGTTATTATCTGATTTTGTGTTTGCATGATATGTAAAACTATTTTTTGATCGATCGAATGCACAATTTATCTGCAAGGTAAGGTCAAAACCAACGTTTACCCTCCTACAACTTTGTTGTGCGCATATATAATGACGTGTTTATCAAAATGTGATGAGATATAGTTTACACAGGGAAACATTGGCTAAATTTACCTTAGGGATCTAGAAAATTATGTTTCAACTTAGGTACACTGACGCTTCATCTTCATCATGAGGACTTTACCACAGTGTATCATTGAAGTAATTTGCTTGGTGTTGGCTATCACTGGAGTCCAGGAAGTGCGTGTCGTTCAATTCTGAATTAATAAGCTGGATTCACCTGGATCCATCCAGATCAATATAGAACCAGACATTACTGCGTAAGTCTGAGTTACCGCGGCTCATATCAGTACATCAACAAAAAGGCGATGAAGTGTAAGATGAAGAAAAGAAAATTCAGTCAAAGGAGATATAAAGTACTAAAAGAGAGAAACGAAGAATAAGAAAATGGTGAGATTCGGTATGGCGTTCAGATGAGGATAATGTGGGTATACATCTCTGCCACTGACTTCGGTTCTGAACCATATCGCCTTGTGTCAGTCTCCAACCACTGGTTTCTCTTGTCCCACAGACCCCAACTGGCTAGTCTGCATCTCCCCACATGGTTCAAACCAACAGTCAGAGACTTCATACATTGATGCCATGTTTTATTCTGGCCGCCTAGAGCCTTTTTCCAGCCTGAACCTATTTCGGCCAACGTTGTGCGACGAGGCGGACGGCTACTAGGCATGTGCAACACATTTTCCTGCATTCCAGTTAATGATGATATTCCCATTGAAACTGGAACCTGGTGCTCACTACATCACTCACATTCGTCAAATATAACATTCAACGGGAAATTACAAGCATCAATATATTGCAAATATCTTCATTTTACTTCTTTTATGGATTTCACACCATTTCATCATTGCATGTTCAGCTTTTAATTTCGACCTTTTATACTCCTGCTCTAATTTTACTAATATCCATCCACTTGTACAAAAAAGATTTTAGAGTAATATAAAACTTTACAAAGAGTTTGAGAACAATTTGTGATCGAAATGGTTATGAGCTAGATAATAACTGAAAGCAGAGAAACAATGGATCATATAAATTATAATTTATTCAAAAAATGAGATGAATGGCTACAGAATAACAAAACAAATAATGCCAACTTTTGCCTGGTTTCCATGTTCTTGCAATATAATAAAAGCTATAAGAGGCACCCTAGCACTTTTTTGTAGCTTAGTTTTACGGAATAGATCCTTGTTATTTGATCTGAACATCTTAGAAGAAAAACCAATACTCTTATTAACATAATGTATTGGATCGAGATGGATGAATAGTAAACGAAATAACTGGATCTTATCTGAGAACAATGTAGAACAAAAATGATTAAATTATTCACAGTTTTATTACCGATCCTTTGTTGAAAATCATCTCTTGGTATCGTTTCTTTTCAGATTTCTTTAGTATTAAAAAAATGAAAGTTTTATGTTTCCTTCCGACCTTCTGTACATTCTTGAATGTTCATCTTGCTGTAAAAACAAAGAAGTATAGTTATCTAACTGGCTAATTTATTCAAGAACAAACAGTTAAGTACTTTCATTGACATCATAGCTCTATAAAATGTCTGACTGTAAAAGTGAATTTAAAATTTGACAATTACATGAATTTCAAACCTCAGTCAATATAACATTTAGTTGCTGATATAAAGCTCAGTAGTTCAACTTGAACCTTGTATAACTCCAGTCATCAACTCTGAATATATGAAGATCATTTTGGCAATCAATTTTATTTCGGAAAGACTTTATAAATAAACGGAATGATTGATTTTCATGGTTTTACTTTGAAATTTGTTTGAAATAAACTTTTAAAACAATGTTTATTTTGTTGAAAGGAAATGCAGGGTGATCGCAAGATACTTTTCTCTTCGACTAAAGATAAAAATACCAATATAGTTGACAGTACAAATAAATCACATCCTCTTCCAAACGCTAACACACATATTTTTGCTGGAACAGAAGATGGTGACATAGTATACGTTGACTGGATACCTCATAAAGACCAAGATACCGGAAAGATGCAAACACCTAAACCAGAATTTTGTGCTTCAAGACATGATGGTCCAATAAATTATCTCGGTCGGTCACCTTTTGATGCGTCTTTGATATTAGCTATCGGTGGGTGGATATGGACAATGTGGAAAGAAGGAAATAACAATGGACCCATTATTGAATCTGGTCATGCTATCAAACCATTAACAGGTTAGTTGAGTTAAAATTACGCACACATTCAGCAATTAGAAAGCTTGATAGTGTAATACTTCTCTTTTATAGTGTTTGCTAACCTCGCCTGGTTAACTAGTTTACTAGTTACTAGCCGGTCCTAAGCCCGGGTAAAGAGGGAAGGTTGGGCATAGGGCTAGCAACCCTACCCCGTAAAACAAATCTAACCGCTAAAGAAACTTCAAAGCACAAACAAAATATAAAAAATGAAAACAAACTTATTCCCCGCTGGAATCGGAGAGGCGAAATGACGCCAGTTGGTGAAAGCCTTCGGGAAGCCAATTGGCCGATGTGTCTTCTCTCGATGAAAGCGAAAGTAAACGTGGGGACATGGAATGTCCGCACGATGTTTGAACCCAGTAAGGCAGCCCAGATTGCAAGGGAGATGAGAAGGTATAACATCGAAGTGCTTGGGATTTGCGAAAGCAGATGGAATGGGAGTGGACTCTCCAAACTGTCAACTGGAGAATCAATAATCTACTCCGGTCACCCAGACGCCAACCACGAGCACACTGAGGGAGTGGCTATCATGATGTCCTCAAGAGCATCGAAGGCTCTCATGCAGTGGGAACCAATCTCCTCCAGGATCATGACAGCAAGATTCAACTCAAAAGGAAGAAAGGTCACAATCATACAATGTTATGCACCTACAAATAATGCAGAGCAAGAGAAAAAGGAGGATTTCTACAGACAACTTCAATCAACACTGGACAAGACGTCAGTTGGCGATATCAAAATTCTGATGGGCGACATGAATGCCAAACTGGGAGGGGACAACACGGGAAGAGAACTAACCATGGGTCGAGAGGCACTAGGTGAAATGAATGAGAATGGAGAATTGTTTGCAGAATTCTGCGCATTCAACGATTTGGTGATTGGAGGCAGTGTGTTCAGGCACAAAGATATCCACAAAGCGACATGGATTTCACCAGATGGACACACTAAAAATCAAATCGACTTTATCTCAATCTCAAGAAAATGGAGACGCAGTCTACTTAACACAAGGTCAAGAAGAGGAGCAGATGTAGGTTCAGACCACTCTAGTGCAAGGAACCTTCCAAATCAAGTTAAAAGCCTTCAAGGAAGCTGGTGATAGACCTCAATCAAGTACAACACTCGGAAACTGAAGGATGAAACTACAAAGGAGATCTTCAAGGCAGCCATCAAGACAAAATGGGAGACATCGAGGGACATCCCTGAAGAAACCTGTGTGGAAGAACACTGGAAGTCTTTGAAAGCTATGTGGAAAGAAACCTGCACAACAGTATTAGGAAGGAAGAAGAAAGAAGACAAGGAATGGATCTCGACGGATACCTGGAAGCTGATAGAGGAGAGGAGGATGGTGAAGCAGAAGATAAACCAGTGCAAGGATGCTCAACGACAAGAGGAACTGAGCACAATGTATAAAACACTGGACAAAGAAGTGAAGAAGAGTGCACGCAAAGACAAAAGACACTTCTACGAAACACTGGCAAGTGAAGCAGAACAGGCTGCAGGTAAGAGAGACCTGACGACATTGTATCAAATAACCAGGTTGCTATCAGGGAAGAGACCAACACAGATGAAACCAATAAAAGATGAAGAAGGAAATTTAATTACAAAAGAAGAGAAACAGAGGAAACGATGGGCCGACCACTTCAAGAAGCTCTTGAATCGACCACCACCTGCACTTCGTCCAGAAATACCACCTGCAGCCGCTGAACTACAAGTGAACATTAATCCCCCAACGAAAATGGAAGTCCTGAACGCCATAAAGCTACTGAAATGCGGGAAAGCAGCAGGACCAGATGGAATACCGCCAGAAGCACTGAGAACAGATGCAGAGACAACAGCGGCCATGCTCACACCACTATTGCAGAAGGTGTGGAAGGAAGAGAAGGTACCTGACGATTGGAAGAAGGGTTACCTTGTCAAACTGCCGAAGAAGGGAGACCTCAGTGCTTGCAAGAACTGGCGCGGAATCACTCTCCTGTCCACCCCAAGTAAAATATTAAGCCGCATCATCCTGGAGAGGCTAAGGGATGCACTGGATTCAAAACTACGACCGGAACAGGCAGGCTTCAGGAAGTACAAATCATGTGCAGACCAAATTGCAACGCTTCGTATCATCATAGAACAGAGCATAGAATGGCAATCACCTCTCCACCTCAACTTCATCGACTTTGAGAAGGCCTTTGACAGCGTCGACCGAGAAGTAATTTGGAAACTGCTTCAATACTACGGAGTACCGCAAACCTTTATCCGCCTCATTCAACAACTATATGAAGATGCTACATGCCAAGTAATCCACAATGGGAAGCTCAGTGATGCCTTTGAAGTGAAGACAGGAGTGAAACAAGGTTGCCTACTATCCCCCATGATATTCTTGATTGTGGTGGACTGGATCATGCAGCAAACAGTAGGCAGCGAGAAGAGGGGGATACACTGGACGACGGAAAAGAACCTAGAAGACTTGGATTTCGCCGATGACTTATGCCTAATGTCACATAAACTTGAAGATCTGCAGGCAAAAACTAACAAGTTGATAGAAGAGGCAGCGAAGACGGGACTTCAGGTGAATATAGAGAAGACAGAAGTGATGAAGATACCGCACCACCACCATCAACAACAACAACAACAAACTCCAATCACTGTCAACGGGAGAAACTTAAAGGAAGTAACCTCCTTCACTTATCTAGGAAGCACTGTTTCAACTACAGGCGGGACGGACGAGGACGTCAAAGTCAGAATCGGAAAAGCAAGACAGGCGTTCATTAGCCTGAAACCAGTGTGGAGATCTTCTGCACTCAGCATGCGGAACAAGATACGGATTTTCAACACCAACGTCAAGTCAGTGCTCTTGTATGGCTCAGAGACTTGGCGCGTCACGAAAGGTATTTCCAATAAACTACAGACATTCATCAACAACTGCTTACGCTCGCTGCTGAAGATCAGATGGCCAGAAAAAATAAGCAACAAGGAACTCTGGGAACGAACCAACCAAGAACCTATCACGCAACAAATATGCAGGAAGAAGTGGAGATGGATTGGCCATGCACTGAGAAGGCCGACTGAGGACATCACGCGTCAGGCCCTCGAGTGGAATCCCCATGGGAAGCGACGAGTTGGACGTCCAAGGGTGACATGGAGGAGGTCGTGCGAGCAGGAAATGAGAGCTTCTGGGCTGTCGTGGGACCAGGTTCAAAAGATCTCAGAGAACAGAGGTCACTGGAGGCGTGCTACTGAAGCCCTATGTTCCACTAGGAACCCAAGGGACTAATAATAAAAATAATAATAGTGTTTGCTAATGTTTCTGCTCGGCATTCACGTTTATAAATGGTTTTTTCAAGGATTTATTTTCTACGAGTATTCTGTAATGTTTGTAATGTAAGTTTAACTCAAAGTTATTGAAGGCACTTTTATAGCGTTACACTCTTCCGTTTTGCTTTACTGTTGTCTTGCATACCATTTTACCCCGAAATGCGAAATCACTACTTCCTGTATTTCTGATGTCTGCTTATCTCTTAACCTTGATTTATATCATTGATTTACTAAATTATATGCATACTACATTACAAAACAATTCTTTCATGGATCTCATTTTAGGTGCATAACGAGTTTTTGATACACTAGCTTTTGTAATACCAAGTTCCATTTGAATATTTGCTGACTGTTAGACTTGCTGATCAAAAATTCGTCATAGATGACTCGGTAGTATTCACAGTAAACTAGAAGGATGTTTTCACTTGAATCTCGTACGTCGTGACGAAGAAGAATAAGACAAACTAATAAATTTGGCCAGTACCTGTTCGTAAAAGTTTTACAAATTTATAGTTCAACTAAAAATGAACAACTTAGCTAGTGGGTAAATGAAAATTTGTAGGATTCATTTTTATCAACTAAAATTTTCGTATGATTTATTCTGTAGTCAAATGGAAATATGATTTAAGCTTCGCCGGTTAATGACAGAACCCACTCCGCATAAAAAGTATTATATGTTATTTGGTTCATCAACTTGAACTATGAATAATATATAAAATGAGCAACAATTCAAACGACTCAACAAACAAGTGATCAAAACTGATTCATTTTAATTGTAACTAAATATAACAGACATCATTATTTAAAATTTACTTATTTTCTGTTTGATCTTATTGTCCTTGAATACCTTTCCATCTTTCTTCCTAACGTTAGTAACTTGACACTATCAATACTGCATTAATTTTACCCTTTTTCATTTCCTCATAAGCTGATTTTTTTCAAATATCAGGACTTGAACTAATGTCATTGTTAGCTGGATCTTAATTTCATGTATGAATGTCGTCGAGTATCTTTTTATGCAGTAATTAGCCTTCGGATGATAGGTTATGCACTTCAGAAATACCGCTTCACTTACTTGGGGAGTTACTGACGAAATCACATCTCAGATACAAGTGGCCAACGTATGTCATCTGTAGCACCGGCGAGATATTTGATTACCTATCATAGGGCAAGTGTACTGCGCTGGATTATTTTCTATCCTGTAATATGGCTGTGAGGCATGGCTACTAAAAGTAGAAGACATGAACCGACTGCAGGGTTTTTATCATAGATGTCTTCATCCCATTGCTTGCATTTGGTAGAATCACCATGTGAGAAAAGTTGGGGTTAGGAGAAGGGTTCTAGGCAAGTTGAATGAAGAGTTTGTGAATCGAAATCGACTGAGATGGCTTAGACATGTACTATGTATGCGAAGCCATCACCTACCTCGATGTCACATGCTGGAGACACTTGCGTTAGGTTGGGAAAGAGTTTAGGGTGGCCAAACCAAGACGTATCACCAGTCCATAAAGTCCCTATCTATAGGTTTAACCTGTATGTAGAAATCTAGACTGCCTGGTTGGGGTCCTCAAGACGAAAGGAATCAGTGGTTAAGGGCTCTTGGTGACATGGGTGAAAGTCGGTTACAGAGATGCAGACGTATTCACTCCTTGACATCTTCTAAAGCTTGAACATTTGCACTAACCTTTATCTTCAGATTGCTTATTCTCTGTTATCAATCCTTTTCTATCCACCTGCTCTTTGTATACTACAGTGAAGTATGGCAACTTGAATCAATGCACCTATGCGCGAGTCGATTTTTCAAGCCAGTATCAGCAGAAATAAGCTTCTATGCCGTGTTTTCTGCGAATTAAAAGGAATCTTTATCAATCCAATATTTAACTTTCATCCGGATAGTTAGTTATATCAACTGTTTTCAAAATATAACAACTGTCCTTTTTCTTTACATATGTGATAACTACTTTAGCTAAATGTTATACTAATCAAATGAATGATTTAATGAAAATGTTGTCTCTCCAAACTTATTTTACTACCCTACAGAATAGCGATTATTCATTTTCTTATTTGTGAATTTCACATGAGCTGTTTTGTGGTTTTGGTTATAGATAAAACCGGGTTTATGCAGCTGATGGAATCATATATATATATATATATATATATTGCATAAGTGAACCTGCAAATACTTTTAATGCATGCAGGGACTAAGAGATTATTAGCCATCAGTAATGGCACACAAATCTCAGTATCTTTACGAATATTTTTCTTAAATGTCAGTGAAGCTATATGTGAGTCTCATCTCGTATACTTGGCTCTGTTGACAAATCCAAAAAAGTCAAAAGTAACAGTTCTTAAGCCTAGCCTTTCGTTAACTGCAAATATATAAACCCAAAACGTTACCTAAAGACATCTGAGTTAGACAAATACAGTAGTTATATCAGCTTTAATTGTTTTCATGGATTAAAATGCGCTTGTCGAAGCGAATATTTCTAAAACACTCTAATTAGGAATTTGATGTGGGTTCTTGGAAGTTTTTTTTGAAAGTTCATTTCTGAGGTAAAGATGTTGACAACTCAGTAAACAGATAAATTGTATACACTGATTGTTCACTATCTGTTCTCTGAAAAACCCGAATACTCAGCAACTACACCAACATGAACGTCCCTTTCCACCTGCATTCCCGTCTACATTCTCCACCTCGTCTCCACCCATGTATGCCTTGTGTAGAAGCAATGCCTCACTAGAATGAAGCTTTCTGAAGTCACTGTCCACAACCTATAAAGATATGCACACAACAACAATCCTCCTTGTCCGTTAACCACCTCACAGTCAATTATCCACTTCCATACTTTGATTTGTCACAGGAGAGTAGCCAATATCATGTTGTTTAGTTCCGAATGCAAACCGAATTCTTTCTGTCGTTTTGCAATGTGAACACCAAGTTAGGGGGCTTATCATCGCGGTGCACTTTGATAGATGTTAGTTGACTGGAGGCATTCAGCAGAAAACCCTGGGACTAAGTTTCGTGCTTGTTGGCACTCGTCAACAAAGTGTATCTGCAACCTCGAGGGAACTAGACAACATGAAACTGGATGCTTCCTAGTGAACAATGAATGTATGTAATTTAGTCCTGTAGGAGGTCATTCATGACCCAAATGGCTCACTGATAACATTGCTGGCTGCAACATTGGTTGACATGGATTCGAATTTCACAGGAGAATCAGTTCTGTCGAGGTTGCAGATACACCTTGCTGATGAGTGCCAATAGGCATGAGACATAGATCCAGGGCTTCTTGCTGATTGCTTTCAACCAACTAACAGATATCTTGTGTGTTTATGACATTAATTTAATATTTCTAATGCCCTAGGGGTCAAAGTCTCGCTTTAAATCCTTCTTTGATGAAAACGATCCTAATAGTGCGTTCTTGAACAGGGCTATGCATACAGCAAAATACAATAAGCTTCCCAGAATAATAATAACTACATTTCAAAGATATTTCATTGAACTAATCTCATTTTCATTCGCTTTAAAGATTCCGGTTCGTTATTATATTCAGTCGTTCTTTAATTTATCACATAACTGTTAGTATTGTATTAATGGCGCGTTTGTATTTATCCTTCCATTTGCAAATTATGAAAGATGTTAGCTAAAGATTCTCATATCCATTGCTGGCATTTTTAGAATTCACTAACTTTTCATAAATTTTACGACAAACATTTTGTCACTCATCCAAAAAGTATGTTGTTTTGTTACTGTAGTTACTTTCAACTGATTGCAGTCAGGCAAAAAATGAGATAAATTTATCCCATTCTACAAATCTTATTATTCTCTTCTTTCTCTTTGATAATTTTGATTCCTTTTATGGCAGATAATTTCATTTTTCACTATATATTGTAAAGAGCGTTTTATCAAATGCTATCTTGACTCTTGTAATTCTTTCACTTTCATTCCTCGCTCAACTAAAAAATTTTCATTATGCAAAACAAACTATTTTAAGTCGTCACTCCATAATCAATCTTTAGTGAAATAACTACCACTTTTGTTTCACCAATATGATATGTAGGCTTATTGTACAGTTGAGTTATGACATAAATATGCTTCTTAACATATTATTATCATCTATATATCTGCGTTAGTAACAGATGGTTTGTGCAGGTAAGACCGATAGTAGGTATGTTTTTCAGATCCACTTAGTATTTTACGCAGTTAATTACTTCAGAAGTATTGCTAAGACAAATTTGAGGCTAAACAGTATAGTGATCCTAAAATATTTAAATTTAGTCGACAAATCAAAGTTTCATCAACTTTTACGAAACATTCACATTTAAGGATATGCGCATTTATATTTCAGATTCTAAGCCAACTAACTTAGTTAGTTGAAACTGTCAACACTGTGAACTTAATTCAAAATGACATTCACTTTGAGTGGAAACATTAAACATGAACTTATAATTCAAGAAAAATTAAATTGTCATTAAAAAAATATTTGATCTACTTCAATTCTTTATAGGTGGAAGTTGGTCTCCTACTCGTCCATCTGTATTCTATGTATGTCGTGTAGATGGTAGTCTGGAGGTTTGGGATTTAATTGATAAAACTCATGAGCCTGTTATGATTCAGTCTGTATCTGCTCATCCACTTACAGCTCTGTCTGTATGGGATACGCCAAGACGCCAATTTATAGCTACTGGAGATACTCAAGGCACTTTACAACTATTAATTGTAAGTTATTATTAATGAGTTTTTCTTTTTCTATGCCATAAACCATTTGATTTTCTGGTTAGTATAAGTGTACTACTTGAGCACAGTGGCCGAGTATAATTCGACACTACTGAAAAAGGTTGTAGCGAAGATAATTATCTTTTCGACGATTCATTTTTATAGTTGTATATTCATAAGTATATAAGTAAAATTATGGAATGTTCCAGACAGTTTCCCAATCAAAGGTCAAAGTTAGTCGGTAGATATAAAGAGGGAATGAAATGATATTACGTAACGCAAGAAATGGTCTCAGTAGTCTTGTATAAAATGTATTGAAAAGTAAGATTTGATATCTTGTAGAAACAAATAAATAAAATACGAAAAATAAAGTGTGAACACAGGTGGGAATATCTGCTTAGGATCAAAGTGAAGAACGCGTTTGTACATATTCCTTCTAACACATATTTGAGGTTTGATGCTGTGAATTCCATTGCTTCGACTGTATATAAGTGTGTAATTCTCACCTCTTTTAAACTGTATGGTCAAGTTTGCAGAGAACTTTGAACAAGGTTTCTAGAGGAGCCAAATATCCACAGTCTAAGAGATGTTCAGCTTGAGATGGTTTTTCCTTACTTTTCATCAACAAGGCTAGGTAGTTTCACGAGTAAATGGTACGGCTGGTGTTCTCAGCTCCACAGGAGCAAGTAAACTTGTCAATGAATATTTCTGGAGCCCAACTAGTCAAGCTGTTTTTCACTTTCTGACAAATCAGCTGTTAACATGAGAAAACAATCAAGAAATTCGCAGCATATGCTGTTCTACTTAGGCTCATTGAAAGTATTTTCTGCGAAGCTGATTGAATCTGTTGCATAGTCTTCTTTTCTTTCATATTTTTCTCCGTAAATCTAAGTAGGTAGCCATTTCTAGGAGGGTTTCCATTTCTTGAATAAATGTATTATCACTGCATATCTTTCTTATCCTTGGTAAGAGTGGAGGCATAAGATTTCTCTTCTTACTTAAAGGCAACCAACTTTGAAAGTTTATCAGTTGCCTACTTCAAGTAGTCTCCCTATAGATGGATATATGAATGGAAAAACATTGAATACGAAATGAAAGAACTTAGAAAATCATGTTGAAAATTGTGTAGTTACTTTGAGATGATTATGGGCAGTAACTTATTCTCAAAGTATCATCCAATAATATTGTGTCATTGTGGGTTATATCAAATAAACAAACTGAATATGGAACGACATTCTTTTTGTCAAAGACAATTAGAAATTAACCATAAAATATCTGCTGAACACACTGGTGTTGGTATACCAAGTGAAAGTTACGCCAACTATGCACCACTTCAAGTGAAAGGCTGTAATCCATTATTCTACTGGGTAGTATGATCCACGTTGTGTGGATCACTTCACAAAGGTAATAGATAAACAGAGGTGGATGAATGCTACTCAGTAAGATAAATTAGTGAAAATTATGTGTTATAACCACTGAAAAGTGAATACCTCTGAACAACTGTGATTTTTCCTAATTCTTACCATCTAAGATTTCCAGTCACAAATTTTTAACGTTTTGCAGGTGAAGTTCAGTGAGTATACGGAATCCAATATAGCGCAAAACAGAAGGTCTCGGTTTTGTTGTTTATAACCATAAATTTCATTAAGTAACTGCCTTACGCAGTTTAAGAAACTCTGTATTTACGAGTGCTGTTTAATTCCATAGAATATGATATCAGGCTAATGTTGAAAGGAAATTGGTCTCATGCAAGGCAATGTTATGATAAATAAATTGTATAACTGGTGAATAACTACAGGGAATACTGTTAAGAATAAGTGAATGATTGTGAAAACATAAGGATACTATTGAAAAAGATACCTTGAAAAGTTTAAGCATTAATTTGAAGTATTTTAACAGAATTTTATTCACTTAAGTTGTTTATCCCAGTACTTTTAGGCAACACTTGTTAGTATTTTATTTCATGTTCAGAAAATGTGACTAGTAAATAGTTAGATAGTTCGTTCAGTATTATATTTGAGAATTTATTCATATCCCACTTTAAAAGATGATCGCCTTTGAAATAGCAATTTTCTTAACCACTAGTCTTCTGAAAAAGTAGTTAGCGTTTAGTAAATTCGAAAATGCAAAATAGAGTTATGGTGATATTAACTTATATACCGTTTTAATAGAACATTAAGATAAATGTAATGATCTATATTTCCAAGAAATGTCTTATTTAACAGTTGGGAAAGTCAAGGAAGGATAGAATTAAGATTTTTAAACGAAAAATGTCTCACTATGCCATCGACTTGGGACATAGATGAAGATGTCATCTACTGTACTATGATTTAGAGCTGTACACCGGTAAAGTGTTTGACATGTATGCATATTTTTTCTATTTGTAAATACCGGAATATTGCACTCGGTTCTGTTGTCATAACTCTAAATAACCCAGCAGACTACTAATAGGAAATGATGCAGTAAAAAAAACCAAACAAAAATAGCATGAAGACCGAGAAAAAAAGGAGTCACATAATAATTACGTTAAATTTTATTGATATATTTATTTAATTAACTGATTAGAATACAAATTTGAAGCAGCTCAAGTACTAAGAGATGCAACATACAAAGTAATATGGTAACACTAGAAGACAGCGAGAATGGAAGAAAGAGTGGAGGCAGAAACGGGTTACTGAGGCAACTGTCTAAAAGATACATCAGAAAAGCTTTCATTAGTCACTTTTTTATTTTTCATTCATAGATGAAACAAGAAAGCTGCAGCTTGATCACCACTGGTTTTGATTGACAGCAGCGTATCTTACCGTCTAAACCCATTGAGTTGCGTGATCTCCTGTCCCTTACCCAGGGAGTCGTAAGGCATCCACAGATGATTAAAACTAAAACAGTCATCTTTCATCCCATGATGCTATTTCATACACCTGCCACCACTAATTCTTGCGGCCACTCCCACGGAAGACGAACAGTAACCAAAGTGGGAGCCATAATGGAAATATACATATCTTTTGTCCAAGCAACCGAAGCCAATGTTTCAAGATGACCATACGCAATGAATGACGATATCTATCGAGGCCAAAAATGCATTGCCTTACCTTGGAATCACTATAGTTTTTTTCAATAAATGGGAGCAAACTTCATGAGATTTCGTTCACTGTAGATGCAAAGTCATCAGAAAACCTTAGCATAAAAAGGTTAGGTTTTAAGGGTGTAAAGAAAAAGTGCTGGTGCTGACGAATTGCATACCAAGTCTTTTGCGGTAAGACTAACGCCACAACAGCACTAAAGGCTATCCAGGTTGACGTTTGCTTTTCTGGTTTGGATATATGAGTGAAAATCTTATCAGTCGCATCTCCACCAGCACTCACACAACTACTCAGGTACACAATTTTTTCAGCAGCTTCTAGTAGTTCAGCGGCAAGTATGAGTGCAGATGCAGACAGCTACCAATTTTGTAGAAGCACTTTGATAGTGCAAAGCAAATACCATACTTATAGTTACAGATCGCCAACTAAGAAAGTTTGATTTAAGTAATCTATATTTTTTCACACGGCAAAGCGATATCGTTCACCTACTCAAGGTCAAAAAGTATTTCACGCAATCACTGGTCTGCACCACCAATACTAATTCTCTTCAAGCCGGACTCCAGAGTATCGTCGGTAAGAAAACTCAAAAAAGAAAGGCGAAATAGGCCAGCTGTGCCTCACTTCACTGTTGTTTTGGAACAACAAAAAGAAGTAACTATATGCCTTAGCTCTACCTGAGTTACTGAAGTATGGGGCTTTCAAAATATTAACAAACTTCTCAATTAGACCCCTCTCCAACACATGATTCCAGAGTACAACCATGTTCTATGAATCGGAGATATTTCTAATATCTAGCTATACAACGATCACTGACCTACAACACGTGTGACGGTGTTCTAGCATCTGCTAAAGAGTGAACATATGATCAATGTATACATGATTTGAAGGAGATCTGGTTTATTCTTCACCAATTAGTTTTTTATGTGTTTTACGCAGCCTATGAAGTATGATAACACCTAATACTGCAAACGCTACTGGCTACAAAATGATACTTTGATTATTACTGCATGCATTACACAGAACTACTTCACAAATAATAATCTCGATCTATTCTATCTAAGGTCTTCGATCCACGACCTGTTTCACAGCCAAAGGATTCAACTGGTAACCTCATAGTTTAATAGATTATTTACATAACCAGTTACGAATCTCATAAGTTGGCGCTTTAGATTAGTCAGATCCTCACGACGTTTCTGTTAGCATGATCACAGTTGAAAAGTTTCTCTTACTGTCATCTGTTTAATTTATACAGAATGTGCTCAACTTATTTCAGTTGATGACGTAACTTTATCTTTTTGTGTAAAGCTCAATATTTGGATTAGACATCTTGCACCACACCCTAGAGATTCTGAGATATTCTTCAGTGTTGTCTATCTCTCAAACAATATACCTGTTGAATGAATAAGGTTAGAAACTCCCTGTTGAGAATGTCAAGTTCAACTATCCATTATAGCTGTCATAAATAATGTCATCTCCCATAAAGTCACATGTTTTACTCATCGATAAATATTTCGCACATAATTATCATTAGGTACCTCGACGTCTGAAAACGGCATTACCATCAGAATTGAAAAGTTTTGATGAATATATTTCACGTGAAGTAAGAAGAAGAGATTTTGTAATAATGCGCTGGAATCAGAGAGAACAAGAAAGAATTGAACAAGAATCTGAAAATAAAAGAAAAGCTGGTGTAGCACCAGCTGTTACATTGACCGAAGAAGAAATTATCCAGAAAGAAAAGGTGAGAATAAGATTAGATTGTAAAATTCTGATTCATATCTCTCTGTATTGACTTTTATGCTTATTATAACTTCAACAACTTTTAATCTTGTACAAAAGATTCTGGATAGTATTATTTCCTTAAAATAGCAGTACTTTAGCTGAAAATTCATGAGGAAAGTTGTTTCATTTTTTCATGAATTCTTTCGCATTCCTAGGTAGAATATGAATCCTATTTAGTTTTTATAGGGAGTGTAAGAAATGACTGATGTCGTTACTACAAGCTTTCGTGAATGAAATAATTTTATGAAGATACCGCACCACCAACAACAACAAACTCCAATCGCCATCAACGGGAGAAACTTAAAGGAAGTAACCTCCTTCACTTATCTAGGAAGCACTGTTTCAACTACAGGCGCCACAGGCACAGACGAGGATGTCAAAGTCAGAATCGGAAAAGCAAGACAGGCGTTCATCAGTCTGAAACCAGTGTGGAGATCTTCTGCACTCAGCACAAAGAACAAGATCCGGATTTTCAACACCAATGTCAAGTCAGTGCTTCTGTATGGCTCAGAGACTTGGCGCGTCACGAAAGGGATTTCCAATAAACTACAGACATTCACCAACAACTGCTTACGCTCGCTACTGGAGATCAGATGGCCAGAAAGAATAAGCAACAAGGAACTCTGGGAACGAACCAACCAAGAGCCTATCACGCAACAAATATGCAGGAAGAAGTGGAGATGGATTGGCCATGCACTGAGAAGGCCGACTGGGGACATCACGCGTCAGGTCAGGCTCTCGAGTGGAATCCCCATGGGAAGAGACGAGTTGGACGTCCGAGGGTGACATGGAGGAGGTCGTGCGAGCAGGAAATGAGAGCTTCTGGGCTGTCGTGGACCAGGTTCAAAAGATCTCAGAGAACAGAGGTCACTGGAGACGTGCTACCGAAGCCCTATGTTCCACTAGGAACCCAAGGGACTAACAAACAAACAATTATCTAATTTAATAATACATCTGGATGATCCTAAAATCTGACAGGATGTGAACATATAACTTCAATTTTAGAAGAAAAACTATGTTTAACTGCTTCTTTTAACACATACTTTTCAAACTTATTTATTATTTCAATGAATTACAACCATCACACTTATATTAAAACTATAATTCCAGTTTCATTCATCTCTTATGCACTTGAAAGAAATTGACTTGAGTGGAGTAGATTAAATGAATCATGAAACTTATGAAGTTTTTCAAGGACTAAATAATTGTATTACTCAGTCAGTAGAATTTAGAGAAACAGAATATTTATCACTGAACAGTATGATTCTTGAAATCTGATACGTTGACTCAACTGTTTCAATACTACACAGGTGAATTCCAACATTCATCAATAACACAAGAGTTGCTTAAGTAAGAAAATAGACAGATGAGTTAACTGTTCATTTCAGAAAAGTATCTTTTGTCATGAAGATCAAAACGACAATAGTCATAAATGCCGTTTAGAAAATTAAATTAGCCTTTCGAAAGCTGTTTATATTTGGATAAATAATGCCTAACTATGCTATATAGAACTACGTATATCACCTATAAGTGACGTTCTTGCCTCAGCAAATACATAGATATCAGTCAGTGGTCAGTTATTCTGTTATTCAGAATAAGGTTTGGTGACTGTCACCACTCGAAATCGTAAGTAATCATTATTCATTCACATTAGATTTTTTCGATCGTTAACTGATTGGCTTTTGACCAGCAGTTTCAGTCAGTCAAGTATATTTTTTTATGATTGATTGGTAGATTTTATTCATTGAATAACGATCATTGTTGCGTCGATTGTTGCTCTTGTAAAAGCCTCGCTACTCACGATTTCAGTCTAAATATGCATTCGAAGTTGTTCAATCTTCAATTTCCTCTGTTATAATGGCCACTTCGACCACTACGGATTTTCTCCGATAGCTATTCTACCGTTCATATTATGGAGTTAGGAACAACCTTTTTATCATGATGACAGTTAGTGAATTACAGAATAGTGTATACAAGATACAGCTAATACCAGCTTTTTTTAACAAATGAGAAGTTTTTAAGTGTTCATCAGATCACGGGAAGTTAATGACACACCTTAAGCCGTGAGTTGTCATAATTTTCTTCAGGAATAAAAATTATTTTACATCAGCATTCAGAAGAGCATTGTAAGCAGACTGTTCGCCAAGTAGGTATCTTATTGTAATTATTTACATCTTGAAAATTTAAACAGGCAAGGACACATCAAACTGGGTAAATTCTATAGCTTGAGATCAGGATGATAATGGTTTGATGATCTCCAAGTTTTGATAGCTGACTTATTATGTCACCTGCTTTTGCTTCTGGATTATGCTCAACATTTTACTCATTCATATTATCAGATTCGCTTACACAATATTCGTAGAATGCTGAATCGGTATTTTAACATACAAACGTGGATATTTCGTACATTATACTTTTCTAAACAATTTTTGCTATAAATTTCCGTTGACGAGAGAGTCAAAACAAAGCAGGGAAATCCAGATAGCTGTTTTTTCGTACTTTTAGACTACTCAGTGGGTTTAAATTCACAAGGAAATAAGGATCCAGTCCAAAGTCCCCCAGTCTTGTAGAGAGTGAGTTACCGTTTAGCCTCTGGGCCAGAATCCAATGATCCGAATTTCTTTAGTTTTGTAAATTTGTGATAAAGGGCATAATCATCATTTGTCAGTGGACAGCTGCCCTCATTCTTGACTGCTTTGTATCAAAACTTTGACGATTCTATCTCAGAGTCAATAGTTAGTTAGTATTGACTTACTATTCATCTGGATATTTTGTGGATACTTGATTTATTTTTCATGTATCATCTTATCACTTCGTTTCATTTTAGTTGGAATATGAAAAATACCTCTCAGATGAACATGCTTTCTTGAGATCTTTGGGATTGTTGGAAGAGAATGATTGAAATGAATATAAACATAGCTGAAAACTTCAGCATACTGTATAAGACAAGTCTTTCAAATAAACACATATATATAGGTGTAAGAGTTTTGTAGCTGTATACCGAAATTAAAATTTCCCAGTGTCCCTATTATTATTAACCAGTTTTATTACGAGTTATTGATGTGCTAAAATAAAATGCTTAAACTAGTTTAAGTGCTTCCCTTTGTTTAGCTGCGTTGTATATACTATCTGAATATAAGTGAATGTTGTTCTTGGTGTTGTTACTACATCGGATATATGCTAGATATGCTGCTTTATCAATGGTTTTATAAACTTAGTTATACAAGCATAAAGAATAGATTTTGCATTAATAAATTTTATAGAATCTGGTGACCAAGAAGCAAAGAAGGTGTAGCAGTAAGTAATTCCCCGAAATCAATACCCTAGGGTTCGATGAGGTTCAACATTGATACTGACCCTCATGGTCTTAACGTATTCGTTAAGCTAAAGGCACACAGTCAAGCATACACGCTATTTGGCACGTTGTCACATTATAATTCCTCGGAGAGCACTTTGATGTCAAATACTATATCAACTTGGAGGTATGCTCAGTGTCACATATTTCTGTTGAAGTGGGCTATTTATATGAAACTTAGCCGTAATGCAGATTTTCTTACAGGTCGACGTTGAAACACACTTCTTCTTCTTCTATAATCTGAACTTGGTTGGCGGCAAAAGTCGTCTATATAACCCACCTTATGGCAACAGAGATACTCATGTTGTTTGAAGAGGCAAGATTTCGCATGATGTCAAGCTATACAACGCCGACATGATCGTGGTGGTCTAGTTGTAGGGCAGTGTGCTGCATCAAATGATTTAGAACCAGGTGTGGCTACTGGATGTTCAGCTGCATGAACGGCCACGTACTACCTTCAATTCTGTATCAGGGTGTTACAGTTAGTCGCTGATATTCTTGACCAATACTTGCACTCATCCAGCTGTGATACCGACTAGGCCAAAACAACCAAATGATTATACATCGGTCCAGCATGGTCACCTCATGCGGACTACTGTGTACTGCCACTATTATCACAAACATAAGCCAACTTATACACCCTGACAGACGTCTCACTTCTCCAGTTAAAATACTCCCACCACAAAATAACCATTTCTATTTTCTTTATTCGTACAATAATCTTAACTGTTACCTTTCTTTCCTCTAACTCTTCACGCTTCCACTATATTTATTCATGTTCTTCTTATCACTTTGTTTTCCCGTCCCTATGAATCTACATAAGTTTCTTCTTCCCCTTAACTTTACTTATTTCCAACTTGATTTTCCTCACTTCCTCTCCTTTGTTTTCACTGGACACTTTTCATTCTTCTTATCATGTTCCTACTACAAGTTAAAACAAATGTCCAGTGAGATAATGTTTGAGTGAACCATCTTCTCCACAACACAAGATGAATCACGCATCCGTTCTATAGATCTGACCGACAGCCAAACACCCATCGGGTGTTTCGGAGCTACAGCTGCTTAGTGAGTGGATATTCTACATCGGGATCCGCCAAAAACCTGGAACTGTCCCGCAAAACTTGGAAACGAGCGCGAAAAGTCAGTTGCTTTATACAGGCCCGTAGAAAGATATTCGAAATCACATTCCTAAAATGTTTTCAGCCAGCTGTTTTGCAAGTTATAAACAAGATGAAGAGAACTTATGAATGCACAAAAGCATCAGGTTACTGTGCTCACGATACTGAACTAGAATCTGGATTCTTGTGTTGACTGAGTGAACCACCACCACCGAAATTAACCTCGTTTGTCTGTTCATTCCTTGTTTCAGACTGGACTCTAATCTAACACCAGCTGGCTGTTTGACATTATTACTTTTTTTACCATTATTATTTCCATTATTCAAATGAAATAATAATTTAGTTTTAAAATGTTACCGCTATCATAGGTCACTGACTTACTGAGTTACGCAATCTCGACAATCAAACAATGATTACAGTTATTTTTCAATGGATGGCAAGCTGATCTCAAAACTTGGTTACAAAGGCCGTAGTAATAGTTATCCACACTTGAAAAAACTGACGCTGGCAAATACACACACACGCAGAAATGTTACGCATCACATCACATGAATATCTAGGGTGATAAAAATACCCCTATAAGCATGATAGAAGTTGAGGACTTGTTTGTCCGTAAACTTAGCATAGACACCATTCAATCCTCATGCTGCCCATGTGCACTCCTGCTGCTAAGATGCCGAAGACGAATAACAATGATTGACATCTCGTCAATGACAACTGACAGCTAGAAGGTAACATTAACTCAAACTGGTAGCCACTACCATACACCAGTGGCTTAAGTACATCATTCTGAATGAATATCTTTCGTTAGATTGACTCAGTCATAGTGTGCATTCAGATGCATGTCATTTGTTGGTTACTTACAAGCCACCGGAGCCCAGCTCTCAAGATGACTTCTCTCCATGACGGTTGAAGTCTTAACTATCCAACGAAGCACCTGCACATCTTGAAGTTATTCACACGCAAAAACCAGTAGAATAGAGCAAACTCAAGGAGACGACTGTGGCTGAACATGCACAATCATTGGGCATCTTCGGTTTCATTGCCAAGAAGCACAACTACCAACCTTGAGCAGCTATACATCCATCGTTTTGACACCATAAAAGGTATGTCGCAATAACGGACACCAGCTGTCAACTGTATGCGTAACTTCAGCATCATGTATGCTATCATGTAGTAAAGTCATATTGTTCGCATGGCTAAGGTCAGAAAATAGCTTTCTTGCAGGCAGGTCCACAATACAGCTGAGCAACTTATTCACATATGTTCTAAGAATGTCATGAATCTAAAACTTAAAACATAAATGGAAAAATAACCATCGCTGCCTCTGAACATTATTTTAAAGCAATAGAGACAATTAGTTGAATACTTAGGCTCCACCTGCGGCAATTTCGCTTAAACCATCAATTTAATTATCTTCTTGCAAACACTATTTGCTAGAGATAACTTTACAGCAAAACCCCCTATAGCGAAAATGAAGCGATCATAATATCAAAAGTCACAATACCTGCTAGTTAATAATATGTATGAATTAGTTCAAGGATCCGGTTAGCAGTGAGCGCGACCTGAACAAAACATTCCTTGGTCCGTACGAACCATTTTTTAATGGGCTTTGAAAGCCTGTCAATTTTGATGGCATCTGATACAATAAACGCCCATGGTAGCAGGCCGATACTCCTCCGCTTGTAGTGCATACGATTTAGGCCGATTTAATCATTAGATCAACAACAGGCTCATTTCAGAATCACAGACACAAACTCGGTCTCACTCCTTTTCAAAAAGCTACGGTCAATTTTCTGTAAGCAGTCTCAACACAATCCTGATGTGAGTCGAATGCATGTGTTTTAAACCAAGTGCCTCAAAGTGTCCAAGTGCTTGAAGTCCCGCTTGAACCTCTACTTCTTTTCATAGATGTATCATTCATTAAGCATGTTACAATTAAGTGCTGTGCTGACCACTGGACTCAGTGTCTGTTGGAATGAATTCATAAACACCAAGAAACTCCAAAGTGTTTTTCAGGATGGTTTATTCAAAAACGGATTGCCACCAAAGCCTGACTTATCTTTCCTCCCCTTCGTATGGAGTCTTTCAGAAGTAGTTGATGCCAATTTGTTTGTCTGGAAATTGGGACCTATTTTACTCCGGTAATTACTTGCAGTACCGGCTGAAACATAATTTGATTGTGATGACTGTTTAGGGAGATGATTCTGATAACCACACAAAGATTATATGAACCTGGCATACTCTATTCATGGTGACAGCTTAAAATGATCCTAAGCAAATTGTGGAGATCTTCAGTGATCACTTCGCTTACTCGTAACTAAATAAGAGTGATGAACTTTGGATAAAGTGGTTAAAAGCGGCTTCCTCTGGGATCAAAAGCCTGACGTTTAGAGTACAAGGTATTTCTGCAGCGGCTGACGCCTTAAAATTTCGTTTTAAAATGGTCCGGATGGAATATTTGGTGCTTTTTCTAAAAGTGGAGGCGAAAGCATATCTTCATTGCTTCTGAAGTTATTTTTATTGTCACTCAAAAATGCATACCTTCCATCCATCTGGAAAACTACCTATGTTCTTCCCACTCATGAATTCAGATCAACTGCACAACTAGGTAATTGCTGTCCAATTGATTTCACTTCAGTGGTTTCCAGAATGATCGAGAAAATTATTGAGAATAGCGCTGTTGATTACCTATTCAATGGAAATTTACTATCCACTTTGCATCATGCGTTCCTAAAAACCAGATCCTGTGATACCTGAACTCTAAATTATCTCAAGTATATCACCCAAAAGTGTGGTCAAAAACATTTTGTTGCTTTTTTGTCCTTCTACCCCAACAAGGCATTTGACAAGGTACCCAACTGGAGACTGCTTATGAAGCTCAGTAAATTTGGGATGGCGGACCCTCATATAACTGGTTCGAAAAGTTTCTTCATGAGCATTCCCAGACAGTTTAATTGAATGATTGCGTCTCAGATCCTAGACCAATTACATATTGTGTGATGCAACGAAGTTTATTGTGTCCACTCCTCTTCCTCAGGTCCTTAACCGACATATGTAAGGTAATCAAAAGTGAAAAACTATATGTTTAAGCAGACAAACCTAAGATTGCTTACAACTTCCAGTACCATGCAAGTGATGGACACCTGTCAGCATCTAAGGCTGATTTGAATAATCCACTGATTGGAGTGAGGAAGGGAAACTTGCGCTCAGCCATGAAAAAGCTGAGATTCTGTATCTCGGAAAAAATTATCCTAGCACTGCGCTGCGCTTTGAAGATTATGAAATTCAAACACTCAGTATGGTATGCTACCCAGGTGTTTAATATTCTAGCAACCTTGGCTTCACTGAGTATGTCTCAGCAATCTTCTTTAAAGCCAGAAGATTGATAGGTCTTCTTTCAAAGAGTTTCATTCTAAAATAGGCCAGACTTGCTCTTTATAGGTGTTATCTTAGACCGATAGTGAAAGATGACCTGTTCGTTTATTCTAAAATGAATTATGTAGACAAATCTTGACTTGAATACATACAAAGAAGCTTCAATAGATGATTATTGAATGCCGATGGCAATGTAGATTGCATAGATAGGTACACGTATTGGTTATTAAACTGCTATAGAAAAGTCGTCTCGGGAATAATTTAGTTCCCCCTATGCAGAATTCTACATAGTCGATCATCC